GTTTGGTCTCAGCAGCAGTCACCTGCACAGAATAGAGGCCGCAGCTTCTAAAAGTTACAGCTGTTTCCACCAGACTGTAGTTTTGTTTCTTGCAGGAAAGGAGGGTGCATGCCTCAGCGCAGGGCTGTTCCCTTTGCTGCGAGGAAGGGGACGTGTGGCTTCCAGGGGCCCTCGTGTAACTGAGAAAAGGCGGCCCTTGCAACACCAAGAGCCAGCGACAAGGATCCACGACGCCCCTTCAAACTTTAAGCCAAGAGCGCGGTAGCAATCCCATTTCTACTACTACGAATGGCAACATCAACACCATCTCCTTCCTACAGCCACACGTTAACAGCGCTTGTTGTGACGCTACGCTCCAAATCTCACAGGGTTTCAACTCTTGTTCCCTGACGGTCTGCTATACAAGTTCACGTTTCACCCTGCTTTTACTTCTTTACCCAACTCCTGGGTCTTTACCCCTCCAGGCACTGACTTCCCATTGTTTGCAGTTTCCCTGGGCTAGGGAGCTGTAAGAAAAGCGCTGCCCTGTGCAGCAAGTAAAGCATCTTGCACACAGAAAGCGGTAACGAACGAAGGCACCGAGACACCCATCCCCGAGGCCAGGCTCAGAAACGCAGCCTTCCAGGGGGAACCAACGCCTGCCAAGGACACGCACTCTCCGGTCAGCAGTACCTGCCACAGGATCAGCAGAACAGGAGGCATCGTGCCAGACCAAGATCAGTTCAACAGGGCTCTCTACCCTTTGTTTTAACGAAGGACAGCGCTCACAAAGGTTTGCTGAGCCTATCAGGGGGGCATGCACCGGTCTCGGCTGTGACGCTAGAGCACAGGCACAGCAGTAAACAGGCAAGTTGGCTTCTGTTCCGATGGAAACACCAGACAAAGTTTAATGGTTCTCAAACAGACTACAACAAAGGCTGCAGGGAAAAACATTTTATTTCCAAGCAGATTACAAAGAGCAGAGAATATAAGAGTAAAATTAAATTAAAAAAATAGTTGAGTGCATCTCTTTAAAATGATTTGTAGTGTGAGTTACTCACGGGGCAAAGCTACTGGAGAGGTCTGAAGGTCACTTTGCAGGATGCCAATCACATGTGCTGTTTAGACCAGGGTCAACACGGGAGGGACAGACAAGACGTATTTTGCATATAGGCTGCACACTCATTATCAAGCGAGGCTCTGGGCTGCAACTGGACCCTGCCTTTCTGAGACATCCCCTCCACCTCCTTCCCTCCCGCAGTTCCCTCGAGTTCTAGGTGCGGTTTATTGCTGCTGTAAGTGGGTTCAATCTGCCTCCCCATCCCGGTGAGCTCGAACGAGAACGGAGCAGCAGGCAAAGGCGGCTGCCATGCGCAAGGTTACGCGGGGAAAGTGGCTGCAGTGCTGAGAGCCGGGCTTCAGCCACGCAACGAAGGGAACCGACAAGAAAGGGACGCAGGAATCGCTTCAGAGATTTTGGGGCAGCGTGTCAGTGAGACTTCTGGAAGAAGATTTGAGATGCTTCTTAAGGTGGGAAGATGCTCGAGCTGAGAAGGGCTCTTTCCCATGCATTGGCACCGGAGAAACAGAACAGGCTGAAACATCAGGATAAGGTACGTTCCCTGTAATATTTGAGAGGAGCAGCTCCAGCAAGAAGATGGGGAAAAAAGCCCTGTATAGGGTGGAAGACAGTTTATATCCCACTTTAACAGTGATTTAAGAGTCCAAACACTAATTGCAAGTAGGTTGCTATGAAACTGATGAGAATGCCGTTTGTTTGGCCTGTGCAGAGTCAGTCAGTGTCTAGCAGCACTCAGACCAGCCAGAGGATAAGCAACTACAGTATCAGCAAGTCCTCCACCCCACAAATGCTCAGAGGGCTCTTTTCTACCACTTTTGGGTCTGTTCTTATCACAGCATAGGAGGCTCAAAGATGGCCTAGTCCATTCCACGTACAGCAAGGCAGGCAGTAGCCCTGATGCAGCTGAGAACAAGACTCTTAATTTCTGCCCTAGAGCAACAGCGCAGAAGATGATTCTTACTTAGGGATCAGATGAAGTCTCAGTAGCCCTGATGCAGCTGAGAACAAGACTCTGCCCTAGAGCAACAGCGCAGAAGACGATTCTTACTTAGGGATCAGATGAAGTCTTTTTTCATCGGTCCAAGGCAGAACAGTTCAGGAACTACTTCAGACCTTGCCTCCCACCTAAAGTCCAGGAGAGCGCCAGGGGTGAGGCAGCCAACTGACAGTTCCCTTTACTCACCACTCTCTAGCCTGCTCTCCGCTGCTTCAGCCATTACCACTTGGAGGAAACGCTTGAACATAGATGAAAATCCAACGGTGCCGTGGACAAGTGTGCAAGAGGCTACAAGTTTCCTTAGGAAAGCAACGGGATTAGTGTCAAGAGACAGGACAACACACGAGCCTCATGTCAGAACGTGAGGTGCTTTACAATAGTCAGTCATGCTCTGCTTTCTATGGGTCCTTTCATACCACGGGGACAAGATGGGCATAGCTCGAGACCAACACCGCAGGGTCTCTAGCTTGACCTCTCAGCTTTATTGATGTAGAGATGGATGCGTTTTCAGCCTGTCTCACACAAGGCATAGGGCATGGAGGTTCTCCTTTAACACACACGCGCGTACAAGAGCTAGCAGTTTGGCACTCTCGGAGCCGAGGGGGAATGCCCTTTAAGCAGCAGTCAAGCTGGTTATAGGAAAGTGTTAAAAAGCTATTTTACATGTTTGACTGGGAACATTTCCCAGCACTTGGATAGCAACCCTAAGCCACAGCACTCGTCTGTGCTACTCTGTACACGCCTTCCTATGAGCCCCTAAAAGGGAGCAGATCATGTTCTTCATGATCAAAGAACATAGTATTTATAGTCTAGAAATACTGTACCTTTTAAACTAGCTCCAGAGACCCAGACTAGAAGCCAGGTCCAGGAAAATAATCCTTAAGTCACAGTATATCGATTGTCTCTAAAAATAGGGAATGAAGTTAACACGGTGGACATTCTGATGAGACAGTACAGAACAGTACGGCAGTCCACTTCCGCATCAGCAAATCCCTCTCCTATGTACGTCCAAACAGTGAGAAAATAATGGAAACACTTCAGGTGTCAGGACAAAACCAGTCATCAGGAGATCTCCAGGTGCCAAGTTCCCCCGTTCCTAAGGAGTATTCTCCAAGATCAAGGAGAGCTCTTCCCCTACAAAGATGTTAGGTCATCCTGCAGTTAAGGGCAGTAAGGAAAGTGCACAATCTAGAATTTTATGGTCGCATGGAATTCTGCTTCCCCAGAAAGCTCAGCTGAAGTATCTGTTCACCCCTAACCTAGAACTGCCCTAATGTTCTGTCAAGTTATTGCAGCTTCTGGCAATTTTTAGAGTAAGAGGTGACTCCCAAGGCCACCTGATGAAGTGACTTGTACACTGGGTATCTGGCAGATGACTTCAACACCCACTGCATTTCCCCCAGAGACAGACAAAGCAGCAGGCTCACGCTGAGGTGCGGGCATGCTGGAGCAAGCTTCCCGTGCAGTGCTGCAGAGCACACGCTGGGCCTTGAGCGCAGCTGTCTGCAGTTTCTCTCACATCTTTGCAACTCTGTTCAGAAGGCAGGACAAACTGCCCAAAAGAACGGGAAATCCACTCTGTGCAGGCCTGCTGGGCATCCTGAGCAGAAAGAGCACCCAGCTGCTTGAAACAGGGGGAGCTTGCCCCTAACCATGTCCTTAAATACCTAAATTAGGGCCAGGGATGACCTTCCAGTCACTAAGATATGGTAACGGGATTACAGGCTTCTGAGAGCTGCAGCTGAGGGTACACATTGCCAGCACTACACACCACCCAGGCACCATCCTCCCAGCTTATCCACTGGGATCTGGGCACCAACCCCAGGCTATTTTCCCCTGGCGTGACTCTGAGGGCAGACACGGAGCTGAGAGTCTGCTTTAGAGCGCAGGTATTGGTAAACCGCCTCACCTCTCTGCCCCTGCTGGAGCAGAGAGTCCTGTGCAGGGAACAAACTCGTACTGACAACCAGCTCCGGCACCGATGTCAGCCGCTGATGCTTCCTGCTTGAAGCCTCACTGAGCCTGCACACCTCAACACTGCCCAAGAGCACAAAGACAGGGAACATGATGGCTCCTCTCATCATTTACACGGCGCACAACCGGCAGAGAGGGCAGACCTTCCTCCTCAATACAGACAGCTGCTGGTCAACAGAAGCTTCAGAAAAAGTGCTTGCCTGTACACAAGTCTAAGTTCTTTTACTGTAATATGTATTTAAATATATATATATATATTTTGGAACAGGGAACAGACATGAGATGGAGAAGCAGGGAAGACAAAAGTTCAAGAAGCAGAGTCATCTCTCCACGTCCAAGAAGCTGGTGGCAAAAATAACAAGCCTGGCTAGAGTGATCTCCCATTTCAAGCACAGTTGGCTACCCGCTGGCTTCAAAAGAGCAGACTACTTGTTAATGATATAAAATACAGCAACCGTTTAAGATGCAGCAAGGCAAGGCTACAGGGCTGGGGTTTATGATCATGAACAATGCCAGAAGCTACACAGCTGTGTTAAAAAACTGTGAAAAGGCTGTTAAATGGCAGGAGTAAGCCATGTGCTGCTCCTGGAAGGCCTTTTCCCTCCAACACCCCTCCTTCATGCCGTTGGTGTGATGCGTTTGTAAAGGTGGGGAGAGGGGGATTTGCCTAGGGGTGAAGCCTCACAGGCTGGCCACAGAACATTAGGACAGTCTGATCCGGTCTCACAAATCCCGTGTTCCTAGCCTGGCACTGAGCTTCCCTCAGCAAGCAGACGTTCAGGTCCTTCAACAGAAGTTAACCCCCTTCTACCTTCCTAATTTGTAGGGGTGAAAGAAGTCCAGCAGAGTCGAGCTGGAAAGCACAAACAGGGATGAAAACAACCAGTTTGCATACTGATCTTTGTATAATGACCCCCCCCACCCTCACAGCTCACTCTTCCCCAAATAAAGACACATTGTTCAATGGCATGTTGAAAAGACGTGCTCGTCATTCTTAATAAACAACTAGAGTAAGAATACATAAGAGAAACAGGGTGGTATCTTTATATGATACACAAGTGTATGTTACAAGAATTCCATCAGGCACAGGAGCCTCAAGGTTTAAGGCCTCAATGTTAGGCCAAAAAAGAAGAGTGTGGTAAAGTTTGTACTTTTAACATCTAAAAATGTCACTTAAAGGTCTGAATAGAAATCGTTGGTTTGGGGTTTTTTTTTGTATAAATCACAATTGCAGTTCACTCTCTCCTCTTCCTTCCAAGATAACAGCAAATTAACGTCCAAGCACAAGAAAAGAAGATGCCTGCCTCTCCTCCACTGGCTGAGCAGGTCCATCCATCATTCTGTGCCCTCTAGGCTGCACGTGCTCCAAGGAGACAGAGGCCCCAGCCATCCAGGCCAATCCTGTAGTTCATGTTTTCTACATCATAAAAAAAACCAGAGTCAACCAGCAGCTTTCCACAGCTCCCAGCTCGCAGGGGATATGCAGCCTCCAATGGTTCCAACAGTTTGGTGTGTTGGGTAGGATACACAATGGGTAGGTTTTCCTTTAGATTCTTTTAAAGAGAAGAAGCCTAAAAGGGCTTCATAACTACACCAATAAAAAACCAAAAACTTAGGCGTCTCCTTTAGTGTAAAAGTCTGTACAATTTATCTTTGCTTGTCCCTCCCCCGTCACCCCGCCCCACCCCTTCTGAGCCAAGAAGGATGCCTTAGTGCATGGTGCTGGCATTAGCCACGGCAAGAGCTTCCTGAATCTCTCGTATCACCAGGATCCGGGTGAGCATCTGCTCCATCTGCTCTCTGCTGATCGGCTGGATGGAATACCAGATAGGGCTGTTGGGGGCCACCACCGGCTCCGGTGTCAAGTAAAACGTGTCATTCCGGCCTTTCACACTCTGGGGGCTGCGTGAGGAAGATCAGAAATAACCAGACTAACAGAATGTCCTGGGAGGGAGAGATCGCACTGCCCTCACCCCAGGCTCCACAACTCCTGACAGTGAACATCTGGCTGATGAGACGTGACAGTACGGAGTTACATCTAGGGGCAACTGCGGTCCCAAAGGCTTTAGGCCACCCAAGGTTAAAAAGCCACGGTGATGACTACCAGAAAGCAATTTGTGTTTCACACTGGTAAGTGTAACACACACGTGGCTTTAGGGGTCTTTCAGAGCGAAACAAGGATGGGCTATTTTCACACCCAGGCTAGCTGCAGAGGGATGTTCAGGTTAATGGTCAGAATCATCAGAACTCCTCCAATCTCCACAGCAAGTCCTCGTTCCTCATTTTTGTTCAGAAGCCGATTTGAACAGGACCCTCATCTCACCTCAAGTAGTGGATGCTTCCAGGTGACTTGCTTGCAAGTCACAGGCAGAACAGTGAGCTCATGCCAACACAGCAAACCTCCAGAGCGAGTAGGAGATTAAGAGCAGCCAGTTCACAAATCAGGATTTGTCTTTTTAAATACCACAGAAGTTCAACTTACGTGCCATCAGAGTAAATCCCACCCTCTCACATCAACACCCCTCCCCATTTAAGTACATTTATGCAAATATAGAAACTGTGCCAGCAACAGAACACAGCCCTCAGAACTAGGCCAGCTACAAGATGCAGCTTAACAGTCACAGACGACAAGCGACCGTACAGATGAACAAGCGCTCTCACCATTTGAAGAGGTAGAAGTCATACAGCTTTATCGGACACCTCAGGGGGTTCTCTGGATTCTCAGTCTGCTCTGCATACATGTCATCTGTAACTACAAACCAGCCCCCCACAAGTCTGTCAGACGCTCTGTACCAGTATGGCAAACTGAGCAGTGCCATACAGCCTCAGCAGGCCGAAGCACCTTGTCACCAGGCAAGAGCCATACGGCTGATCCAGGGCAGAGGCACCTGCTTATAAATGCTCAAAAACCATTATATGGAGAGCTTCCTTTATCCCAAGGCTACTGAACAACACAACCCATCCATACCCTTCTTTCCTTTTCTCTTCTACCTGTGCCCAAAATGAGAGAAATCTCGCTACTGAGACCACAACGCCTCAGCTAAACCCCAGGTCTGGGCTTTTAAAAGGACGAACTGTACGTACATATGGATTCTATGTGGGTTCACCCGAGTCACGGTAAGAGAAGCCCTCCCAAAGCAGCTTCTCGCTCTGTTCATAAGCACTTACCCAACAGCCCCTTTTCCCGTTAAAAACAAGAGTAACAGAAAGAGTTATCCTTAGCTCTTGGGGAGCCCCATATGCCTCAGGTAAGGTATGTCCCCAGGCTTATCATCAGAAGGTACTAAGCTCTCTCAGACAATGCACAGAAAACTCATGCTAGGCTGAAGGTAACTGGCAGAGCCTTGGGTTCTCACAGCCCTACCTGCAGACATCTCCAGGTTCATCCACTTCCTTCAAGCCCAATAAGTAAATATTCCCAAAGAAAGCTTCCAGACACTACCTTTCTGTCCTGTCTGGTGTATGCCAGGAGCCTTCAGATAGCGGATACTCGTGCTTTTATCCTTGGGATTAGAAGGGTTCTTCTTGGTCTGCCTCAACACCTTGGAGAAGGCCAGCTTCATGTGCTGGTCTACTGTTTTCAACAGGAAGTATCTGAGCAGCAAGAAGAGAACACAGGACATTCAGAGGCAAGTAAAGGATACAGGCACAACGGGGAGGTAGTTTTCTCATCATGAGCCAGCTGAAGCTCAAACCAACACCGAGTTAAAGACTGTTCCAGCAGCAGAGCAGGCAACAGCCACAAGTTCAGTTTCCCCTCTGCTAGCTCATTTCCTTGTCATACTGCATCTTCTTTGCCTGATGGGGCTGCAAGACAGCTCTGCGTGCCACCATTTAGAATTCACGATTTCGCCCTAAGCCAGTGCAGAAGTTTCCTACCAACACTGTCAAGGCATTTGAAGTTCTTTTATTCACCAAGATTCCCAAAGACCCAAGTACTTACTTTGTATTAAAAAACATCAGTGTAGTGAGCAAGGTGGAAGGGGAGTGAGCTCCTAGCTGCTTACACTCCCACAGCATCTCTTCTGTGACATGACTGGAGAGCACGTAACCTGCAATAACCAGAAGTCAGCATCACACCAGGAGACAGTCACAGCCCGAACAAAGGCAGCATTTTATAGACTCTTAACTATTGGAGAACATATAAATCTTAAGGGAAGGAGGAGGAGTTGTTCCTCACTGGCGTCAAGATTCACTGCTGTGCGAATAACTTTTTAAATAGCAGGTTTAGTTAGGAAACACTCGTATACGTACGTCAACCTCTAGTTGGGGAGAGCATGCTTCTGCAATATGCCTATACATCCCAGCACAGAGAGAAATAAATACGCACTTAAACAGCTCTTAATTAATGGCTCGGCTCCAATGCAGATGCTCCTAATCCAATAATATGCGAGAGCAGGCAGGCCAGTGTAACAAATCAGCTCTTGGCCCTGCGCGCAGCTTTAGTCAGCACACAGTGCCAAGTGATGTATTTGGACACATGAGTAATCCTTTGATTCTCAGATTTTTTTTCCCCCTTTGTGTAGAAGAGAAATACTATACTCCAAATACACAGATAAACAGAAAAACAGACAGCAGTATGAACTCTGGGGCTTGTGGAATGACAAAGCACAGATCAAACAGCCACAGTGAAAACAAAAGGATTCCAAAACTCACGGTGCTACTTAGCCATCTAGCCTCTAACATCAGCTACTTTTCTGAACACAAGCAGTAGCTTCTTCACTGAGGTCTAATCAGATCAAAGGCAACAAAGTAATGAGAAGCCAGGTTTCTGTGCTCTGAAAATGCAATTCTTAATCTCGTTCTCATACGCAACTCTGTCAAAATCTGCCTCTTCTGGAACTGCTCCCCCCACCCCTGTTGCCATCACCTTCTAAACAGAGGGTTGAGATGAGCTGCATCCGATGGCAGCATTCGAGGCTCTAATCACACGCTGTTTTTCTCTTTGACACTCCGTTGGTCCTGCAGACCGTATCCATCTGGCTACATGGCAACACGACAGTGTTGTATTATCTCCCAAAGTAACAATACATATTAGAGGCAAGATGTATTAGTTCTTCAGATGAAGAAGCTTGATTCAGATCAAGGATCAGCTGGCTCCCAAGAAAGCCAATCTCATGACACTACAAAGTCCCAACAATCTGCCTTCTGATGGGTGATGAGTGATAAGACAAATAATCCTCAGCGACAATCAAGGCTAGAGCCTGACACAGGCAGTAACCCCAGCATTCACTGCAGATGCCACATTTTTCTCCCTGACCAGTATGAGCTGTCCTAGAGACATGAAGTACTTTGAAAGGGCTTCCTAGTCAGACTACACTCGCCCTGTAGTTCAGTTTAAACATTCCAAACTCCGGAAAGTGTTAAAGTTCTTAAATAAAAGTTCTTACCAAGAGGGGAAACGCGGGGCTGTACGTCCTTGAGAACTTCATGCAGCCATTCAGTGAACCGAATATAGTAGAGATCCGAGAAGATGTCATCTACTCGGCCATTTTCAAAGAGATACTGTAAAAGATTCACCACACGGTCAAGGCCAGTGGTAGAGAGTATAATCCTCAGAGCAGACCTTATCCTAAGAGCCCACGTACCCGGTTAGTCAAGCATTTTACAGCACAGCACTGAAGACTAATACATTCTACCTAGAAGAGTGAGGACCCTCCCACCAGGGCCAGTACGTGGGAGGTAATCTCCGTTACTGTCATGGGAATGATAAGACAGAAAGGGAAAACCATCATAGAAAGTAAAGCTGGCTGGATTTCTCCTTTCACTTCAGGTGTGTTCACTGCAAGTTATTTCACATGACTGTCCTCTGGACACTACTTTTTCAGGTGAAGGAGAGCGATGCTCAGTTCTCCTGTCTCTGTTCCTGCAGCTCTTCCAGAAAGCACAATAATATTACCTGCTCAGACTTCCCACCTCACACAAAGCTAAGTTCTTGCTTGTTAAAGCTTCAACTAGATCAAGTTTTGACATTGCCAACTTCCTCAAACATCATCCAGCCCTCACCCCCCCCCCCCCAAAAGAAAAGCTTAAAAGGATTTATTGTTCTTACTGTGATAGTGAACGCAGTTATTAACAATTCTTTACAAACTTAACTCAGTAGGTGAAAGCATTGCTGTGCACTAACTACATTTCATCTAGGTTTGGTAACTACACCATCTAGGTTTGGGTTTTTTATGTGTGGTTTTTTTTTTTAAAGCAAAGAGACTTTTTTCTTATGAAATTGTTGGGAAGCTTAATAGAAGTAATTGTTGGGAAGCTTAATAGAAGTCAGCGCCTCCATTTTTCTAACAAGAGAATCCTCCCTATATATGCTGACAACACGCACAGCTCTGCTGCACATGTAGCTGTCCTCCCCCTACCTTCTGAATACACAGGAAGATATAGTAGAGCACATCTGGATCATAGGGTTCACCATCACCATTTCGAGCTTCTCGTGTCATTAAGCATAGACCATAATTCAGCTCGGCCACAGCTGAAGAAATGAGATCTTCCTGGAACCTCAGCAGCTGACGCCCTGGAAAAACAAAACAAAGCCATATTATTTAATCCATAAAGCCATATTATTTCCCAATCTGTCAGGAATGATTTCCCACATCTCCAGCTTTGCCATTCTATCTGGCAGGCCCCGTACTACCTCATTCTCCCAGTTTAATAAAGAAAGCTGAAATAAATCAAGATCTTCGGCTGTCAGATCTACTAAAAGATAAACAGCCAAGCATCTGACAGGAAGACTCTCTGCCCTGCCAACTGCATGACTGTTGCCTTCTTTTACCATGTCCACAACGAAATGCTGCCCTGCAGCAACAGGAAAACAGCAACTCCGTGACTACTCTACCAGCTTGGCTGGCATTCACAGCCATTTTGTTCCTCCATGCACCAGTCCTACAGTGCCCTTTTTTACTGCTACCAGCCTAGGTAGCTCAAGTTGGCTCAGCACAGAGCTAATACTTTCCTTGGAACATGTCCTGTGGCAGTGGGAGTATGCAATAATCAGTATTGCAGAGTAAATAAAAGTTTAAATTTAAAAACAATCCCTGATTAAGCAAAGGTGTTTTCCAGAGCAGTAAACAGCTAACATTTTGGTCACTCCTAATCCTACTTGAAAGGAAAGGCAGGCCATGTTGTCATGACACGTACTTCCAATAGGTGCTAGCCTATTTTGGGCTTCTTTTTCCAGCTCTGCATTCTTGGTCTGTGCCCAGCTTTTCCACACTTCAAGCCCTTCTTCTGGCTTCAGAGAGTTTGGAAGTAGAAGTTCAGGTGAAGTCTGTGGCTGTGGCTGCGGTTCAACTTCAGCAACCTGAACAGTCTGAGCCTAGGAAAGAAAACATTTCAGTTTATATATACACACTTTGATACGCAACAGTTCAACAAAAAACAAGCAACGCTGCAGCACCTCTGGCCCCAGGGTATCAGCCTTTTGCACATTCCTCTCTAACAAGACAGTTAATCCAAGGAACGCTACTTTTGCTGTCTAACCTGAACTGCTGCTCACAAAAGAGTATTTGTCTCTCCAAGAACATTTCTAGTTTGAAAGGACAGATCTATAACCCCTTTAGCAAATCTACACAACTAGCAGTCTAATGCATTTACAAGTCACGCAGAACATCACAGGAGACCTAACAGCCACCAGCCAGTCTTGCTGCAATACCGTTAAGAAGCTAGCCAGTACGCTCAAAGGCAAGGATCTTCACAGGGCTACAAGTCCTCTCAGTCACAGACTTCTGGTCTCCCCTCGAACACTGAAACAGGTCACTATCGGTTCTGAAGTACTTTGCTCCAATGCATTTTGCTTGGATTCAGTAACTTGTCATTCTGAACCACCACTGAAGTCCGTCATCTCACCGCAAGAGCGACCCAAGGCCCCTCACAGACGCAGCCTTGAGACTCAGCAGCTAGAGTGACGGCTAGCCCCTGGCAGGGGAAAACAGCAAGGTGCCATCAGCGTTACTAACCACTGCCGCTCCAAACCCAGACCGTCCAGAGCAAGGGTCTGGGTACGGTCGCGTGTTGCACGCTGCCAGCATCCCTCCCACCCTCGCCCATCGAGGGCGGGCGCCCTCCGTTATTCAGCACATAACAGTCAGGCAGAATAGATACGCCCTGTTCTTACTGTCAACAGCTGATAAGGTTAATTCACTTGTCAGAGGTATAAAGTAATAACAGATTAGAACACCAGCACCAAAACATTAATTCAGTTGCAAGGCAATGCTCTCAAACTACCGAATACTGCTAATGAGGACTAGCTATTATCCTGTGAAGAGCTACTGTATGACCTAAAGGGTCTCCAGACCCCTTGGAAGTTTACTTCTCAGTAGGACCTTAAGTCACGAAGAACTACTACCTCAAACTGAAACTTATTTTACAGGCAACTGATGGCACCTATCCAGAAAGGGCAGTGAGCTGCGCTCATGTCAGCCCCACCAGGGGGGCAGTCTTCTGCCCTGACCTCGCAGGCACCTTGTCTAGCACGAAGGCAGGCACACAGGCTGGAGTTAATTCGCTGAACTGGCAGCTGCTGCTTAACTGACTTACATTTTTTCACAAACAGAGCAAAATAACTGCAATTTGCCCAGATCCCACAGCAGCACAATGCCAGAAGACAGCGTGGAGCAAGTAGGCAAATTTCTTCTAAGTGTCACAGTTGAGAGGGACAACCCCCAAAAGTTTGATGTTCACCCATAGTGGCTTTATTGCCCTGTTAGAAGGCAATGGATCCCTCCTGGACTTGCCTCTTTATTTAGGGGCTTATGCAACACCCAGTACTCCAGAGAACAGGTATTAGAAAACTGTCCGATACCCAAAAATTGCAGATCACAGTGCACAGGAATACACAGCATTAGTAGAAGCTTTTCAAGTAATCATTAAAGAAATTATGGAGCTAATAGCTCAGAAAGGATCCCAAGAATGTGGGTCATGCTCTTAAAAGACCCTAGAATAAGTCCAAAAATCCTGTTTAGCAGAAAGGTAAAAAGTTCTAATCGACTCTGTTCATGCAGCTAAAAGCTATGAAGTGATCTCCGAGTACCAACACAGGGAAAAGGTGAGCTACAGAAGGCTCTTTGAACATGACAAAACAATAAAACCCCAACCAGACAAGACCCATGCATTACAAGACCCATAAGCTGCAGCTTAAAAGTACAGCTTTATAAGAGGGCATCCAGCACCCGAAGTTATCTAGAGATGTAGGGAACCCTTTTCAGTGAAGGCCTTGGTGGGCTACAGCCCACAATCAACTCAGAAACAATCAGACATGACTACAGAAAGGAATCCTCCTTGTCCCAGTGCTTACAGATGAAGTAGAGGGCATAAAAGCCTTTATAAAGCCAACAGTGTTATTTATATACTGGAAAGAATTTATAACAACATTTATCCTAGCAGACTTGGATATTTTTGCCCTCATTCCATTCAGCAAAAACAGGCTCTGACAGATCAATCGCTTTTCACTTTTTGGTAATAAGAGATAAGTTACATATATCCATCTGCACATAAAAGAGAGGCCATTAATGCCCCTAATAAGTTTTAAAAGCCAATTCAAAATAATCTATAGCTTAAAGTCAGCAACAAAGCCTTTAAAAAAAAAAAACAGCAACAAATTCGGCTGCCGCCTTTACCAAGCGCTATGGAGAGATGCTTACTGGCCACTGCTCCTTATTGTGCTCTCGCACACCAGGCATTTACCAGAAGCAGAACACGGTGTGACAGATAGGTACACCTGATCCATGAAGTTTACTCACAACTAGTCAGATTTCAACACTTCACCCAGGCACTGGATATGCTGTGGACTCCACATGCTGCAGAACATGAAGTAACTGATAACTAGGTGACGAGTATATCTGCACGTCTTACTTCACTGCAGTCACCCCTGCCTGTCCACTGCAACCCCTAGAACAGGAGAAGACTACAGACCTCAGAATACCTGCTATGAAGAAACTAATAATGAGCATGTATCTCTTCATTTACACGAGTATCAAGATTGTACTTTCTTCGGGAAGTTCTAAATCCTGTAATTATGTACCAACATTAACACATCGCAGTTCTACACCTATCAGGAGTCAAATACCCCAGTCATGCCCAGGCTGCTGGGACAGATGCATCTCTGCCTCCTAAATACCAGCTGTCTGCTGCCATCCTCCCTCTCCACAACATTTGCACGCTGTTAATCACGGACTGAGACCCAGAAGCAGTTTTAACTTACTGAACAAGTGACTTGTAGCTGCTGCTGCTGCTGCCCCTGCTCTTGGGGTGTGGGCTGCTGCTGTTGCTGCTGCGGGTCCCATATGTGCACTGTCTGTGCTGTATTCTGGTACGTCCCTGCCACAGCCTGCACTGCCACTGGAATGTGGATGTTGCCATTCATGAACTGCGCTGGAAAGAGCGAATTAGCAAGAGTTTGCACCACTTCCTCGTGAGAGTTCTTCACTACTGAAGTGCTTCCCACCATCTTATCCTTGTCATCTTCCAGCTTCACGGTAGCCAGTGTTGTTGGCGAGCCACTGACGTGGACGGCATTGTAGGCCTCCTGAGGGATGGCGATGTGGGTTATGTTTTGCTGCTGAAGGTCACCACGTGGTTGAGCAGAGTAAACAGGGATGGTCCAAGTCTCTCCAGTGGGGCTAGTAATGGTCCCAGTGGCACTGTACAGGTGGGCACTGTCCACTGTTAACAAGTCTGGCCTTAAAGAGACGTAACTTTGCTGCTGGCCCTGGGGAATGGCCAGCACTGTGGCAACTGGCTGCCCTGAAATAGCATACGATACAGTAATAGGCATATCCACTTTACGTTTCTTCACTGGCTGAAGGACACTCGCAGTGCTGATCCGACGCTCTCCCTCTCGTGGAGAGCCTTGTTGAGAAGGTGGAGGTGACAGTGCCCCAACTGTTTGGATCTGTATCTGCTGGCCACCAGTAATGGCCTGTCCTGCCACAAGCTGGGCCTGGATCTGCTGGTGTTGTATGTGTTCCTCCTGTATCTCCGCAGCCTGGATCTGTTGGGCAGTCTGCACATGCTGCACTTGGATTTGAGCTGCCTGCAACTGAGATGGGCTGGGGCTCTGAAGAGACTGACTCTGTATTGTCTGGGACGCCTGCTGCTGCGCCTGGCCTTGGATCTGCACTTGGACCTGTATTGGTTGCTCCGAAGCCTGATGGACAGCGAGCTGTGGAGAGAGCTGCTGGGCGGAGACCTGCTGCAGTGACTGCTGGACCTGGACCTGAACCTGCAACGACACCAATCAGCAGTTAAGAGATCAGCAAGCATCAGTGATTCGAGGGGGGGTGACCAACAGAGCTGGTCCATCACCGGAGGTCTATGCTCCCGGTCTTTTATGCTCAGTTTTATGACTCCATATGTTAATCCACTAGTAAAGATCTCAGGAAAATGAAACCAAGTTGCTCTACAAGTGCCTGGCTGATAACAGCAACACGTTAGGCGATGTGTTTGCTCAGCGTTGCACATGACCATACTCTCTCAGCAGAGGCAGAACAGCGCGTGAGCTGCATCTCCATTCTCAAAGCTCTGCGGGCTCAAGCCAAGAGATTGCATCCTCGGAAGCCAAAAGATCCTTCAGAGCTATTTGCATTGCTAAAATGTTATTTCAGCACAGGCCTTGCAGCAGCAAGACTTTAAGGTCACGCACATTTCAACTCTGATATTAAGTTTATCTTGCTACAAATGCAGGAGCTTGCCTCATTCCTACTATGCTCTGAAGACTGTTCTACGGCTTTCAACCCCAGCCCCCTAGATGGCCACAGGATCACTTGCCAGTGACAGGCAGTAAAAAATACTGGTAAGTTGAAACCAGCACTTGGCTCTTTCCACATAAAGCACAGAAATATTATTTTGAAACCAACCGCTAATAGTAACGCTGCACAAGCAGGTGCCAACACAGAAGCTTGCAAGTTCGACCTGAGCCTTCGTCATGCGCTAAGTGCCAACACTGCAGCATTCATTTTTTAAACTTCAGAAGTGCTTCTTTGCCAGTGATAGCTAAAACCAGTTCTTTTTTCATTATTTACTTTTTCCATTTAATGCCATTTATTGTCCAAATTACTCATTGTATTTTCTAGCTCACGCACTTACACAATGCTGAATAACATGGACAAAATATGTTAAGACTTGGATCCAAACACAGTTCCTGTTATTTGAGGCAAAAAAAACCAACCCAAAAAATAAGTCACACCCCTCACATAATGCTCATTTGTCCAAGGTCTGTCACACTACATAGCAGCAGTCCAGGAGCAGACTTAAAGCTAGGAGTCAGAGGTAGCCCCCAACACAAAGCTCAGGTCTCAACAACTTCACATTCCAGGCCTCAAACCCAACCCAGCCGGTACCTCCGCTCCCAGGGCAGCAAGTGAGTCCTGCTCTCCTCGTCCAGACACTTCACCACTTTGTCCCTGACATTTACCCAGCCACTCTGTTGCATCTGTCTTGTCCTAGAAGTGACATCCCAGGTTCCCATCACCATCTGTTTCTCTAGGCTTCCTTAACGCTGTATCTTAAGGGAGGGAATTAATTACTCAACCTCTCCTCTCAAATCCCACGGATTTGAACTGTGGAGCTTTATTATTGGCACCTATGATGGCCATATGAAGTTTGAAGCCAACACAGACTTAGCTACAAAACTACGTCTTCCTACTCACGTTCTCTCACCCTTTTCTACCTCACTCTCTAGAGCCAGTAAAGCTAACGTAGCATCTGCGCAGAGACGCCACAGTGGCCAGCCTGACAGTACCCAAAAGAACTACCACACAGGTCTGCATTGCGCAGATACACAAAATCTCACTTCCCAATACCCCATCCAAGAAGTCTCAAAAAGTGTTAAGGATTCATTTGCAGCCAATTAAGAGCTGCTACAGAAAAAAGCAGGGTAGCAAAATGCATCACTTGCAGACCAGTTTTATAAGTCACCTCCTATTAAGAATTAATTCTATTTCCAGGAAGAACAGGGAATTTTACAGGTTCCTGCTGGGAGCTATATGCAATACACTGTAATCCAGATGATGTGGACTTTCTATAATTTCCTGCAAGGTAACAAGAAACATACGACCTTGTGTCAGCATGACAGTCTAAAAAACTGCATCAATGAGCAATTTGATCAGGCAGCTAATTGAAAAAGATGAAGTCACCTATGGGATGCTTCTTCTGTCTGATACTCTCATCATACTGCCCTACAGCATGAGTGCTGCCTTGGGCGAACAGGCCCAAGCACAGCTCCCAGTTAAGAGTTCAGTTTAACAAAGCCAGTTTCAGTTACATCTCTAGGCCAAGTACTCTCCAAAATATCTGACTTAAATTAATACAAAGGCCTGTATTAATGATTTTTAAAGTCCTTGTTCAAAAGATTACCTGCAAGGCAAAGGCCCAAGACGGAACAAACTAAAATGCATTATTGCACCAATATATTTTCAGTTTCACACAAGAACCATTTGCTTTATCCGCTCTGATTCAAAATCATGTCACAAAAGGAGGTAAGCATGTCATTTACCCTGACTTCCGCAGTGTGTTTTCAGAATCTGCACAGGTTGACTGAGAACACCTTAAAAGTACCCCCACCTTCTTTCCATACCAAATTTTACATTACAGTTCTTGTTACTGCTGTAACATATACGAAGGAAAGACTATATTGTTTTTGCTAGCAGTAAGAATTTAAAGTGTGCTCCTGAGCTGAAACAATTCTATCACACAAGTGCAATCAGAAAGGTAACGGTGTAGGTCTAAGCGCGAGGCGCTGCCAGCAGAGAGGCACGGTCTGAGAACAGACCTGACAAGACAGCATCTTCTTTCTTCCGCTGTTACGGAATAGCGTATTTCAGCTGGAAGGGACCTGCAACGATCGTCTAGTCCAACTGCCTGACCACTTCCAGTGCTGACCGTAAGTTAAAGCATGTTATTAAGGGCACTGTCCAAACGCCTCTTAAACACTGACAGGCTTGGGGCATCAACCACCTCTCTAGGAAGCCCGTTCCAGCGTTTGACCACCTTCTTGGTAAAGAAATGACTCCTAATGTCCAGTCTAAACCTCCTTGGGTGCAGCTTTGAACCATTAACCATTTTAGAGCCTGAGCCTACTGTCTCTAAAAGTCATGGGCAACTTCTGTCACTTCCAGCAGATGAGCAATTACGACCTGAGGCCCTATGATACTCCCCCAGGAACAAATCCTAACCCTACAACTAGGATGTCTTGCTCCTCCTTTAGAGTTCACACAGCATTATCGTTAACACTCCAAGAATGAGTCTGGACCCAAAAAGATGAAGTAGTCAGACTCCACAACTACTGCAAGTTCTCCATGCTGAAACTGCAGACATCACACTTCTGATAGAGACTGCTCTTATTTAAAAGGATATTGGAGTTCTACCGACCGTGCATTACACATCCCTTGTGAATTGCACATCCATTTTTAACAACCGTATTTCGCACTAGATCACTCCCTGTTTTCCAAGTAGGTTGTACCCAGGAGTGCTACAAACATTCATTTCAGATTTACAGACTTTAACCCAGTCTAAGACCAGAGCTTCTTCAGTTGACCTCATTGTCTAACTTCCTATCTGAGAAAAAAAAGGGGAAAGAATTACACTAAACATAAGCAGCAGTTGACTTTTTAAGACTCTGTACAAAGAGGAATGCTTTAAATCTACAGGCCAAGACCAACAGGGAGGACTTTAAATCTTCACCTTATGCTGAAGATTAAAGCAAGAACATGTTATGCTGGGAATTTTTGGGTTATACTGGTGCAAGAGAGGAACATGCCAAGCTACCAGTACTGAGCAACTGCTTATTGCCAGAAGTTTGGATCTAACAGCATGAAAAGAATCACTTCCCAGCAGGCTACCATCACACAGAGAAATGCCTTTTTACCACAAAACAGCTAGAATTTGGACCAAGTACTGGTTGACTACAGAATCAAAAGCGTTAGAAGTCAGCCCTGCATCAGAACAGGAAGGCAGAATTAAATTTTTAAGATTGCCTTAAAGAAAATCTTCTGTCACATTAAGCTCAAAAACATCTTCTGTCTAGAACACAGCACATGCAAAGAGAAAATAAGTAACTCCACGAACATGAGAACAGCTGAAGCCTGGTTTCCAAAAGTTTTTTTCCCCCCTCATGGTTGATAGACTAACTCCGACAAACTTTCAAGTAGGACTCATGTCTGTCCTGTGCAGACTCTCTGCCCAACAAGGAACGAGACTGCACAACTGCAGTTCTGAAACAATTAAGTTGAAAGAATTCCTAAGCAAAGAATATCTCACTCGCGGACTGACTGGATTACCTAATATTTCCTAAAACCTAACTCCAAATGACCATGCATACCAACTCTTACTGCATGGATTTTCTGGTTTCTGGCTTAGCCTAGAGCACCTGACAGGCTCTTAAATGCCTCTTCACAAACACATCTTGGTTTCTGAAGTTTTTCTTTCTACGTTTACACTAGCAAGTAGCAAGCAGCAGGATACACCAAGAGCAGACCTTCAGAGCAAGACTGAAGACCTACTAACATGACCACACTATATATTCCAGAAGACCGTTTCAAACTTGGGTCTGGTCTGGCCCACTAGCCAAGCTAGACAAACACCTAGACACAACAAGACTGCATGCTTAGTTCCATCGGAAGGGAATCCCAAACAACAGGCTCCAAACCTATGAGAGTTAAGTGGGGACAGGTGGCAAGTTTGCTGCGGGAAGTATGCTCCAAATCCCCTCCTCCCTCCAAATAATGCAGGTGCACTTCAACCTTCCTCACCTAAGCAAGCTGACAGAAGTCAAACACTTGGACAAAAAGTTAGTGAGAGGAGAAGAGCATTATTTTTTAGCCCAATATAAGGAAAGAAGGTTTAAAATACACTTCCCTCAACACCAATCCTAAGCTAAGGCAACTCCAGCATTAAAAACTAACACTGTAACAAAGAGTTCCTTCTAGTGTTACTCCAGAAAGCACACATACAAGCACAAAGCTGGTCTGAAGTATAGAGTAGGTGAAAAGACTGATCAGTGAAGCAGCAGGAAATGTTGGAACTTGTTATTCAACTACTTTACAGGAAGTCCTCTGCTATCTAAGTAAACAAGGTCTACGGGGAGGGTACAAGTCAGCTTTTCAGAACTGCCAGACAGATTCTCACTCCAGGTTTTCCCTCTGCTCATTCATCAACATCAGAGAGAGAATTCCACAAGCCAAATTAGGCCTTGCGTGTGTTTGAACAGTTACAATATCAAGATTATGTTGTCAGGCTGTGGCAGGATTTAGGCCTAAGACAGTTAAAACACGTGAACCAGGAAAAACAAACCAGCTTACCTCTCAAAGAGGAACCTACTTCCATATATGAGAAGGTACTACCTTGAAAACACCACTCTTGACTATAACCATTCTTTGAAGTACCACACTCAGCCCTAACAAATGCTAATTAACACTGGCTGCTACACTAGTATCTTACTGGGACGCTTTTCAGAGGTAAGGGAATAGGAGCCCTACCTCCAGGTTAAACTTCAGAACCAAGGCTGGGGCAGGGGGAAGCTGCACCCCTCAGCAGTGAAGATGTATTCCGTGCAGAGTCAGAGGTAAGATTCTCTTCTGAGCTACTTAAGGGCATCTTTCCTTGCCTTCTGTCATTAATAATGCCCAGCTTCCTATAAGGGTCTGAAGTCACTGCACAGACTGGGGAAAGACTGAAAAAGCTGAACAGTAAACACATAAGGAACTGAGCAATCAAAAAGGCACAAGCCTGAACTGAAGGACACTTCACACAGGCATTTAATCGCTCTCTATACAGTTCTGTGATCTTGTTCACCTGTAGCATCCCCCCTCAAATGCTGTCCAAGAAGCTCCTGCCCCCTAGCCATCAGACTGTCTCAAGAAAAAGGTGAAACTGAGGATCTTCCCCACATGGACTGTATGTATCCTAAGGAATGACACTTTCTGTCCTCTGATACTCTTCCAGTTAAATATTCTTGCAGAAGAGGAAGAGGCACAAAAGGTTCACCTCTGCAGAAATACCATATTCAGTAAGCGAGTCAGCGCTAACACCTCTCGTCGCTGGCATCAATTCGATGGCCTCAATGCACAAGACCAACTGGCAACAATCTCACCAAAGGCAGAGCTGATAAAACTCTTATTTGACTGGAGCAAAACACAGCCCTTCCCAGCCACCTCCTGACACAGCACAGGGTACGACAACTTGACACACTAAACTCTTTCTTAAGATCACTAATGGCACCGCTGTGACACTTGTACTGTAGCACTGACTAGCACACAACCCAACACTTGCATCCACTCAGCCTTTAAAATAAACATGTGGCAATAGTTTGTTGAGCCTTTTAGGCAAGAAAACCCCAAGGTGGCAACTTCTTCAGACAGGAAACTGATTTTGGCAGGATAAATAAAAGCAGCCAACAGTCACACACTGTCGTTAGTTGTTCGTGGCAAGTAAAGTCTAGGATGAAACCTGAGCACTGTCTGTCTATCTTTACGACCGTAAGGCTGGCATCAGCACTTGCAACTGTGAGGTCATCTGACTGGTCACGTTATCAGTCACCTTCAGCACCGCTGTCACACTGCCAGACATCGGTGTAGTCATTCAAAGGGTCTTCCACTGATTTGCAATTGGATTAGCAAGAACTAAACAGATTATCAAGTCGAGTACTGGGATGACATAAGTCTGACCAAAAGCAAAGAGGCTTCAGCGGACGACCAAAATCTCTCACAGGACAGCACAAGCAGTATTTTAGCCAAGCGAGCCAGCTACACCAGGTGCACTGCTCTAGTGGAACTCTGTCACCCCCAGAGTCACAACAAAATTCAGCTTTGTTCAGACACTGTGCTCTGCTACTGCTGTCACAGTGGCAGTCTGGAGAAAGGTGAACACTAAGTCACGGGTTTAACATAAATCACATCTCGATAAGAAATCCTGGAAGACAGAAAAACACTCTCACAAAGCAGTAAAGACATTCCTCTCCACCTCATCCTTGCAAAAAAGCTTCAAGATAACTCTGAGCTAGCTGCTCAAATACAGATGAGCCCAGCTGCAGCGCTGATGCGCAAAGGTGCAGCCCTATCTAGCACCAGATATGCCACCCAAGTGTTATGCCACCCAAGTGTTCTGGGGGTTTGTAACATCCCGAAGCGAGTTGCAGGCTATGCAACACAAACACTAATTATGATCTGTACCCACAGATACAAAAGCAATTTTAAAGCAGAGTCACATGAAAAACAAGGGGGAGAGAGCAGACTACATTCTTTAAGAAAGCTGCTGAAATCTTGACTTTCATCAGGTATTTTTCATATTCAGGGTGCAGGCCATTCAGTTCAAAAAACAGGAACAGCTCTCTGGCAGCAACTCTATGGTTATTTTCAAGAAGGTCAGGGGATTATTTTTCTCTGGAGCTTATGATACACGACCTCCCTCCCTATCTCTGTTACTAGAAGACTTGCAAGGGTCAAGCCTGAACTTTGAGCAGATTTGAAAGGAGGGAGCAGCGGGGAACACGGGGGGCAGGCGGCAGGGGAAGGGAGATTCCTTCCGGCTTTTACAATTGGTGTGGGGACCTTCCATATCTTCAAGGCTGCGGCACCCAAAAAAGCCAACCCTCCTAGTTCTTCTACTGCAAAATGAAACTTCCTCCATAAAATGTAATAGCTGGCAGAACTAAAAGCACCCTTGATCAGTTTTAATACACTCACACAGAGATCCAAGGCATGCCTATGAGACTAGAGGCTTTTATTCTTCAAAAGCCTTGTGACACAAGTTACTGTAGGGCAACAGGTTACAGAAGTCCCAGTTAAGCATTAATTTACTCAATAGAAAGAGTAATTGGAGACGAGTTACCCAGCGAAAGAGGGAAGTTTGTGCTTTTATCCTACAGCAAAGATGCAAGTGAGCTGTTAGCACAAGTCTACTGCACTGCAGCAAGTTCACACTGCCTTATCTCCAGTCACTTGTGTCTCTGTACTCCCACTCGTTGCAAAAGAAGAGAGCTCACAACTTCACATTCATGCTACAGAAGGCAGAAAGATTCATAACTGAATTACAATATAAATGAAATACAAATAAGAATTACAGCTGTAGACAGAGGTCAGCTGTTTGGTGACATATCATAAGAAAAACTCAGTAAATGCCCTGCCACCTATAAACTTTTCAAATCACAAAACGTGTTTGAGGACCAAAGCAGTTATCCTAAGTCGTATGTTTGTGGTTTTTTCCCCTTCTGCTGCTGGATTTGCTCATTTAATACTTAATAAAAGTTACTGTAATACCTATTAAAAAAGATGACTCATTCCACTGTGCAAAGGGATAATCTACCTCAATACACATGCATCTTTTAGAGTTCCGTTCCTGAAAGGGATCTTCCCCTGGTTCCTATTGTAAGCTGACTCCTCTGCATTCCCCCCTCACCTAAAAGCCAGTTCAAGAACTACAACTTTTAGAATGTTCAAGCAAAATCATTTAGAGCGCACTGATTTCATTAAAAAAAAAAAAGTGAGTTAGATCCCACAGACACCATGAACAACTAGATAAAGACCGACCAGCAGAGGGGGGTGGTATTTATAGCAGCTTCACACAGAGTGCAGGGCTTCGGGGAGTTGTGTACATGCCAAAACTGTCAACCATTTCTCCAAGAGGTTACACCACTACGTTGCTATGTATGCTACTCCTCCTATAGCGGAGCTCAATGGAGACACAGCCAAGGGAGAAATTTACTACCAAATTCCTTAAATGAAAGGGAAATAATGCTGTTCTATATAAAGTTAATTGGCCCTGCTTCTTGAGCGCTTGCCTGTGGCTTCAGGTTAGACAGTAGCTGGCTCTGAACAATACTCCACAGGTTGGCAAGCCACATATACGTGTAGAGATGATTTAAGATGCTTACCTGGACTTGCTGGGGTTGCTGAACCTGTATCTGCTGCTCTGGCTGAGTTTGCTGCTGGACACTGGTTGTCACAGGACAAGCGAGTTCAAGCAAAGACCCAGCCACCTCTGTGCTGTCCGTGTAAATGCAGTTGCCACCCTGCTGATACACCATTGTGGTGGTGGCTGTCTGCTGAAACTCCTGCAGAGCTTCCGGCCCCTTGGAAGCAAGGGAGTCCAGAAACTCCTTCATCCTGTGCTGGGGGATCGTTCGCGCCTTCACACGGATGTATTCTTCAAAGGAAATGGTGTTCTCCAGAGAATTATTCATATTGCAAGGTCCTTAGGGTTCCTTAAGGAAAGAGAAAGTAAAAGTCTTAACTACAGCACTCCTTTGATGCAAGGAGATTCCTAACTCCAGTAACTAATTTCTCATACCGAGTACAATATGAAAACTAGCAAACATGCACAGCCAGATGCCCAGACAGATGCTTTAGTTTTATGAGGCATCTTGTGCTACTACACATTTCTCAGGTTAACCCTTAGCAGCTCAGGGAAGTCTGAACAATAACCAGGTGTAACTGTGGTACTATCCAAAGAGCTCACTGCCATGTAAAACCTTCTGGCGTCGTACTTCACCCAGACCAGGCGAGTCTCATAACAGACGAAATAAAGTCGCACACTTCATTCGTTTGCAGCATGCAGTATTAGTGAGAGAAGCTCAGAAATCAATATCTGGTGGCCCTGCTTTGCAGCTTCAGAGGTGGGAGAACCGAGCAGTATGTTCTATCAGGCCATGCAGTTCTATTCTAGGCAGCTAATGGGAAGCACAACGGAAGAGCAACAGATGCAGCATTCAGCCCATTGCTATTAGGACTAGGACAGCCTTATCGATTTGAACGTAGCAAGCAAAACGAGAGTGCTGGAATCCGGAAATTCCTCAAATGGGGAACTACAGACACAGAAAAGGGGAGCTCTGGAAATGACAAAGGCAACAACAGCATCAGTTCTTGACGTCCTTTTAGTATAGGAAGAGGTTAATGTGAAACATGCCATGTATGAAGACAAAGGAGAGACAGAAAAAGAAATCAGATTATCAGGGAGGAAGTGAGAGCAAGAGAAAAAAAAAAAAAGCACCACCACCAAAGATGACTCCACCTGAGAACATTAGAAAGCTCTAGGGTATACTCCAACAGCATTCTTCTCTTATTGACTTATCTTGTTTAAACCCACAAATTGTTTCTGCAGTGAGTATACTGGTTGTTTCTAAGGCACTAATTAGTCTTGCTAAAGGATAAACAGATTTGAGCTACACCACTACCAGATACTGAGATGGTTGTGGAAAGATGTGAAACAGCACAAGATTAGGACTAGAAGAGGCGATTCAGTACTACTAGATCAAGCTGCGGAAAGGAGGAAAAAGGGACAAACATCACTATATGAACATTATGACTGTAGCTCTAAAGAGAATAGGTACAAAAGCAGAACCTTTTATATCATTTTACTACGATTTAACAAAGTGGAACCAAGACAGAAATATGCAGTTGAACAGAAGACTGCAACAGCCTGTGTGAAAAGAGGAGTTAGTTCTGGGCTCTCAGTGGCGCCCAAGTGTCTTCCGCAAGTCCAGCTCCAATTCCCACCAAAACCAGTGGGAGCCAGAGCAAATTCTAACCACTCTTGACTGTTACATGACAGCAGTCTAAACACACAGAAGTTTTTGTTTACATGGAGGAGGTTCATGGCTAGTGCATTGGATCAGGCTGACAGGAGAAAGAATTGATAGCAAAGGTAAGGGGAACACATATGAGGCAACTTGTGCTGTATCTAGAGTTATTAAGCAACATTTGTTGCTGTAGGAAATTACTACAGAAAATATTCTTAAAACACGCATCAATGTTTAACAAAAGCACCAGCTGACAGTGTTCCCTTAGTAAATCCAACCACTCCATAAAAATCAGCATACAGAAGCTCCTGCAGAGCCCACAGCTGGACAGAAAAACAATCCTCCCACCTTTCAGACAGCCTGATCTGACATTCTCAAGCCAGCTCTTCGTGATATAGCCAGTAAGACTATTCACCTAGTTGCTGAGTGAGGTTTCCTCCAGGAGCCACGTGAGAGTACTCTGCACCTCTACAGGACATATTATTAACCCTTTTTCCCAGGTGACCATATGTCCAAGGTGAAACCAACAGAGAACAACCTTGTTAATGCATTCTCAGTGACTGGGACAGGACCGACACCAGGCATGCTCGAATGCACCTTCCATCTCATCATAAGATGCTCCGTCACATACTTCAAAGCTGGAAAACGGATTTTGAGCTATTAACTTGCCCCAGTTTTCTCCTTGGAACTTGCAAATATTTGACTTCAAGACTACAGTGCGGCTTTCAGAAGAGTGTCATCATTTCGCACGTCCACTCTGAGGTGCACTAGCAGACCCAGCTTTCAGAGGGAAGACCCTGCTGTGGAATAAGCCTCAAGGATGCCATGCCGGGAACCCAGACATGAACACTAGAGGTGCTCTCAGATTATACGCTCTTTGACAGCTACCTGCTGCTGAACAGGATGGGCTCACCTCTCGGCAGAGGCCCTGCCTTCTTCCTTGCTCCTGCATTGCTGCTCAGTATGGTGTAACAACTCGGAGAGCAGCTATTCACCTTCTGTTAGTCTTGTCAAGGGAGAGAGTGGGGAGGTCAGCAGGGGCACTGTTTTCAGCAGCAGCTATCCCTTAGCCCTCACTTTTACTTTTGGAACTCCAACCCTTCTGTCAAGAGCTGCTCACATGTACATCATGCTCCTATGCAGCGGAGACCAGAAGCCACCAGAAACCCAGACACATAAGCAGCTGGCCTGAAGATCAAGAAGAGGTCCACCACCAAATCATCACCTACCTCTTCCACCCACCAGGCAGCAGAACACACACAGCATTAATGTCTTAGATACAAATCCTTGACCCTGCTCGGCCACTCCATCTTAATTGGTTCTTTTTAGCATCAAAAATCAAGAGCTCACTAGGCCACTCTTCCCCACCAGCAAATCTTCCTCTGTCACAAGGAATCTCTCTTCTCCTCTCTTCTAGCATGGAGAAGTCTTCCTTTACAGTTGCTTGAAGTTACTACCTGAGAGCCACTAACACTCAAACCAGCAAAACACTCATCTGAGCCACAGCAGCACCTAAAGTCCCACGCACGGATCAGAACCCCACTGTGCCTCACGGTATTTGTTCCTGCTCCAGAAGAGCAGCAGGATCTTCCTCTGGTTTTCTTTACAGCTCCCCAAATGGCAATCAGAAAGGAGCTAAAGACACTGCAGGTAACAGGTTCTCCCGGAGTCGTTCCTGTCAGTTTGAAGGCTGCTTGGGGTTATTTAACTAAAGGCACTGAACCTCTCAAAACTGCACTTCACAAAACCCTACGCAGCAGTGGAGGTACCAGGTCTAGATGAAGATTCAAGAAAGCAAGGCTGCACTCCCAGAAACTTTATTTATTGAAACAAAACCCACCTGCATTTATGACAGAAAATCTCTTTAAGGCTCAAGTGTGCACTCATCAGGCTCTTACAGGGTAACATACGCAGCTTGCTGCTGCAGCCGCCACTTTCACTGTCAGTTATTAAAACATACTACTTCACGCATTCCACTTATCCTGTAGACACGCATTAGGAACAGCAAACACCCACCCTCACTAGATCTCAGCAGCATGTTTTTAATACTGCACTTTAAAATAAATTTAAAAAAGAGCATCCAGGCAATAAGCTTTCTCTGATAAAGGGAGCTAATTCCTCCCTGTTCAGCGCAACTGCATTTTTTCCAGGAAATAAGTTCAAGAAACTCTTTGAAGATCATGAGCACATACGGTTAGTTCATAAAACTTAGACTGAGGTTACTGAAAACACACACACAACTTGCAGCATGTGGACAATCTGGACTCACCAGTCACCATGTTGCATGTATTTCTGCTGCTCTTGTCCTGAGCTCTTAGACTTGTAACGTTCTGGAGAAGACAGAACAAAGAAGCCCTTTCCATCCCCAGTTCCTCTTTCTTTATTAAAGCCATTTTATTTTTAATAGGTATTCCGTTAACAAAAAGACAAAACCCCAAAACAAGTCAGGAAAGAAAAGCTATGACCATCCACGCAGCCAGCAGCTCCTACTGCAGAATTGCGAGGTGCCCAATTCCTAACCACTGCATCCCTCAGCCTGATCAGTGCTACTGGGAACGAGTGTGCCGGCGCAGAGCGCGGCAGGCGCAGCGCAGCCGGTGACACCGGAGTTACGGGAAGACAGAACTTAGAACAAGGCAGCAGCAGTGACCGTATCCAGAGGGCCCCCCTGCTCCCCCCGCAGGTGTTCCCGGCCGGGGCCCGGCGCTTCCCCGAGGCCCGGGGCAGACGGGAACGACACAGACCGCCCTGCCACCCAGCCCAGGCGAGGCGAAGCTCCATATT